AGACTGCAAGCTTTAGAGAGCCAGGGCTGCATTTAAGTTGTCTTAACGACATGAGAGAGAGATTCCCGTAAAGATGGATATTTAATAAATGTGTTTTTTGATCTTGAAGAGGAAAAAGAAGAAAATCTGTCTCTTTTTCTTTATGGCTTCTCCCTCTAGTGTCTCACCTTCTATTAGATTTAACATTGGAGCTGGAAAATGAGCCCCGTCCCTTGAAGCAGTGCATCTCTGCTGATGACAATAAACCCGTGTGGTAATGATGGTTTTGCAATGGGTCCCTTCACAGGGGCTGCTCATTGCTGCTCAGAGACGGGGAAGAAGCAGTCACTAGAGTGGGCAGACCTCAACGTTATCCTAGTCTATGCCCAGAGAGAAAAGGGGCTTGGCTCTTGGCTGCCCCATTTAGGAAGGTGCATCCAGGGTAACAGTGCATAAACATGCCCCTTTCTTGCCGTTTTGGCTCTGAAATGGCTCTTGAATATCAAGTCCTCTTTTTTCCAAGACTGTCAGTAACACGTTGCAGAGGCAGTGGCTAGTGTTGGCATTACTGTAGAAGGGAACATCATGATGGGCTAAGCTTTAGACACTGACTGTCTTGAGGCCACGGGCATGCCAGAGTCTGTGTGAGTGTCCTCCTGTCCTCTTTCTGGTTTCCTGATGGCCAAACTCTTCAGGTGGCTGGAAGCTGGGCCATGCCAAAGCAGCAAGAAGCCTGCAGAGCAACGCTCCATGCCATTGCAGGAGGCATGCAGACTCAAGAGATGCACAGGGTAAGGCTGATTCGCCAGGAAGCTTTCTCCCCAGCATTTCATCCAACAGCCTGTGTTAAGGCACTAGCAAGTGAGCCCCACATTGCTAAGCACAATGGTCAGTTTCCAGTCACAGCAGCAACACTCACACCCCTTCCTTTGCATTCCCTCCTGTCTCTCTGATCGTGCCTTTAGGAGTCCTGGTTGCTGGTTCTTTCCCTTTATCCCAATCTCCAAACATCGGTAGGGCTAGGACTCAGTTCTTGGACCGCATCTCACTTCTGTCTACACTCACACCCCAGTGATCTCATCCAGAGATCCAGGGGATAAGTATCTTCTATATGTTGTTGACTCAAAATTACAGTTGAGCCACAGATCTCTCTCCTGGAGAGGTTCATTCGCTATTACATACTCAACATTTCCACCTGGATGTCTAATAGGCACTTCAAACTTCAGGGGCTGCAGTGGCTTTCCTGATCCTCCTGCCCTGACACCTATTCCTCTCCCAGACTTCCCCATATCCATAAATGACAGCTCCACTCTTGGTATCGTTTAGAACAATTGCCTTGGAAAATGCCTGACCTTTCTCTCTCACATCCCATATCTGATGCGTCTGCAAATGACATCATCCTGAAGTCTGACCTTATCACTTCCATGGGTGTCAAGACCAGGGCCAGCATCTCCTGAGGCAGCAGGCACCTGATGGGACCCCTGCCTCCCCCTGGTCCACCTTCACTCCATTCTGCACATGGCAGGCAGACGGACCCTGATGAGGGTCTGTCAGATCGTGTTGCTTCTCTGCTCAAACCCCTCCAGAGGCTCTTTCGCTCACTCCCGGTAAGAGCCAAGTTCTCACAACAGTTTATATACCCTACTTCCTGGGTCCCACAGCCTCACCTCACACCACTCACCCCCTTGCTCCCTCCTCTCCAGCTGCACAAGCCTCCTCAGCTCTGGATTCATCAGCATGGCCCCCGTCTCATTGGCCCCTTCTTGCTAACCCCTAGAACGCTCTTTTCCCAACTATCTGCAGGGTGCCTTTCCTTCCAGCCTCCAAGTCTTTATTCCAATGCTGCCTTCTCCGTGAGACATTCCTTGGCTGCCCCTCTGAAATCACAACCTCTCAACACTCTTCCCCCTTCACTGCTTCGCCCCTCTCTGGCATGCTATTTAATTTACCATCTGTCTCTCTACTAGAATCTAAGTTCCACGAGGGCAGGGATTTTTGACTCCCTTGTTTACTGATCTATCACCAGTGTCTACAACAGTGCCTGGCAGAGAGCAGACCTTTCATTTGTGAGTGGGTGGACTAATGAATGAATGAACTGGAACATATTTTTGCATATAACTTACTGGCCACTTCACTTACTCTAATATTTAGAGAAATGCCTCCTAACTGCATGCTTTCTTTCTGTTGTCCTTCCAGCCCATTTCTTCTACTTCCTTGGTGGCTTTTGCAGCTTTCCCTAAGAAAACAGAATCCCTGGACTCCCCTCAGATATGCTGTGTGTCACCAAGCAGCTCCTGTGCTGCACCCAGCCCAACCTCCCTAGCCTCACACCACGGGAATACGGATGCTGCCCGGGGAGAAGCAGAGTCACCATAGCTGCTGATGAAGAGTGATCAGCCTTTTCTCTTAAAAGATGACTTAGCTTTTGAGCTGAAGAGAGTTGGCAAACATACCATGCTGTAGTCTTTCAGAAGCTTCAAAGGCTAAGATATTACGGTAATTGAAACACACATGCTTCAAACGTAGCAGGATTTCTCCCCTTGTATTTGTTTCAAAGGGCAATCTACGAAATTCTCAAGACAGGAAGATAGTTTCTGAGCCACTGTCTTGCCTTTTTTGCAAGTGAATTAGGCCTCCGATTCCTTAATCATTTCATCACATCAATTCTACTTTTAATTGGACTTCCCCAACAGACGCAGTCCTTTGGATTCTCTTCCTGGCTCCATTCCTGTCTCTCACATTCCACTTCATTGCATGTGTCTATCTTACTCTGTACACCTTGCTTTTTAAAATATTCATTCCCCTGCCTCATCCCCTGGAACTGTCCCACTAATTAGCATTTCCACTAACGAAGGAGCCAGGCTCCCATTCCAGTCCTCCTAGGACAAGAAGCAGACCCCCAGGGCTCCTCCAGCCATAAGGAAGCAGTGCAAGGTGAGAAAAGCCAGTCTCCAGAGTCTAAGACCATCCATATCTAGGCTTAGGAAAATCTTGGTGAGACTGTCTATTGGGGTAGGCAGCTCATTACGCTCTTCTCAAAGTTTGTCAAGAAATTTGGGTAGAAGGGCCTTGTCAATGTGATCTGTTCCAGCTGCAAAGAATACTCCATGCTGGGAACTCTCCTAGGAATTTCTTCATTTAATAGGTTAGGTGGAGAAGCCGCACACTCTCCCTTGGAAGCTCCTGCTTTAGGCAGAGAACAGAATAGCTATGTTCTGTTATCTCAGTGGACAGCCACTGGCTGCTAAGCATGTAGTGGCTATTGCAGGTTTTCAGTAACACATGCTACAGAAACGCTCATCACCATGAGTCACAAGGGAGGGCCAGTGCTCTGACTTAGGGTGGAGCCAGGAGCCAGCACACAAACTCCTGCATTTTAGAGGTATGCTTCTCCATGGCTCACAGGCCAACTTATTTATTTAGCATACCACTCAGTGCCACAAACGAATCCACTACTCCTCAGTTCCATCAACAGTGTAATAGAAGCCGTCAGGCATTTTTCCAGGAAGACCCTCAACGGCATCATGGCTCATTGTTATAACCCATCAAAGGCCCTGTATTCCAACTTGCAAAACCACTTAGCAGAGCACAAAGGCCTCCTTAGGTTACTAAATTATGTTATTACCAGTCCCTTGTTGTTTGTGTGCTTTAAATTTGTATTTGCTCCTCGAGCAGTGTTATCAGAAAGGGAGCAGCTGATAGATTTATTAAATCTATCTTTGAAATGAGGGAGCAGAGATTCTGCTCCCGTGAACATCTTTGGCTGTCTTCGTCCCTTCTTCCTGCACCTGTTTCTGCTCCTGGCAGCTCTGCTCATCGTCCTCTCTGCTCAGGGTGAAGTTCCAGCTCCCTGCCTTTGTCGGCATGACTCCACGTAGCAAATGCCCTGGACGATTCTTTAACCTGTTTGCTTCCTGGACTACTCTAGATGCTCAGTGTTTAGGAAACTGTTTTTAAGTAAGGCTGCCTGAGAGGACAGAAATGCACCTATTCAAACATGTGTAGTGAAAGAGAAAGATATTGCACACAGAAAAAGAAAGAAAGAGTATGGTTAGAGTCACAGAGATCGAGGCCAAATGAGATACAGAGAGTGGTCAGAGTTAACCCAAAGGTTCTCAAATTTACTATGCATCTTGATCACCTGGGGGAGTTGTCAAAACACAGATTCCTGGGCCCCATCCCCACAGTTTCTGGGTCAGTAGGTCTGGAGTGGGGCCCAAGAGTTTGCATTTCTAACAAGTTTCCAGGTAATGCTGATGCTGCTGGTCGGCGGCCACGCCTTGAGAACCACTGGGCTAATCTGATAAGAGCCTGAATTTTCATGATCCATCATTTTTTACATATTTGTGAGTCAATGCCATCCATCACTCTCATTTCTATCCCAGCCACAGCCTATCCAACAATGGGCCACGTGAACCCCCGAGGAAGGGATCTGGCTCAATTTCCATCACCTAGTTGGATCCTGACAAATTCCTCTGGGCTTCCCCCAACACTCCCACTTAGCACTTCCCCAGGTCTTTGAAGCTAACCCCCTTGAGAAAAACCTTTGGCTACCTTTCCTACGAGAAAGCTCAGCAGTGTCTGGAAATCTTCTGCAAAGAGGGGAAGGATACCTGAGCAGGTATAAAGTTTTCCAGGCAGCTGCTTGGCAGACGTTGTTCCTTTCAAACAAGCCTGTGCTTTCAAATGGGAAGCCTGTGCCCCGGCCCCAAAAGGTGAAACCTGGAGGAGAAGGATCTCTGATTTTAAACAAGCCTCTGCCTTAGCAACATCTCAACTGTCTTTTAAGGTGAGATATTCTAAAAGGAGCACGAGGTTTTCTAGATCGACAGCTATGATTTCCCGCATGTGAGCGATGTCTGTGTGTAGCAAGTGACTGCCATCAGTGAGATAAGTGCGGCTCCAGGAAAGCACACCGTGGGCTGCCAAGAAAGGGTGGCAGTCAAAGTTCTGTGTTGACCCCGATGTTGTTTCCTCTCCCCCAGAACCCAGCCCAAACACAGAAGAAGACGGCTGCTCACTGTTTCGGGGCTTCTCCTCATCCATGCCTTCGTCCTCGTTCTCGGGATCGATGTCTTCAGCCTGAGTGATCCAGTCCAGGTAGCCTTTGAGATCCTCTTCTAGCTGCTGCTTCTCCCGCAGCTTCTGGAAATCTCCCCGGGCCTTGGCCTTCTCCCTCTCTTTGGAAAACTCTCTGGTGAGAGTGAGAGGAGGGACAGGGCAGGAGAGCACAGAGGAGGGAACACCGAGAAGGGTCGAGGATGGAAGGAGAGATGGAGATAAGGAGAAACGAGTCTTAATTGCTTTGCAGGGAGAAACCTGCCCACACGCCCCTACTTTCCACAGATAGCTCCGCTAGCCAGCCTAGGTTTTGTCTACTCTCACCTCGATGGGAAGCGTCAGTAAGGGGACAATTCTGACACAGGCCAGGAGAGGCTTAAGGGGATGGATGAAGTCCATCTCCCTCTTTTCCTGGATCATGATCACAGGCTTTGCTTTTTAATAACTGTTCTCCAAAGACCTGGAAACCCGTTCCAAGCAGTAACTAAAAACCTCCACCACCATTCCAGAACATGCACTTCCATCCCACCCAGTATTGAGTGGCAGTTTAAAATTCTCCCAAGGATCTCCAGGTGACACAAGGTGTTAGACCAGCAGTGTACCAAAGCCCACTCACTCGCACCAGGTCCTGAGAGCCAATCATTCATGTCTCTTCCCAACTCTGGCTTCAGGGATGTCTCACTGGTAGCTTGAGATCGGCCACAGTGGGAATATTTACACCATGGTAACTGGCAAATGCTGAAAACCAGGGCTTTCCCCCCAGATAGCCTATTGTTAAATATTTACCAGTATACCACTGATTTGGGACCCAGGAGATTTAATGTCCTCAATCTCTATCCTTATGATGAGCTCAATCTGCCACTCAGCAGTCCTGGAAGGATTTTTTTTCTAATCTAGAGAAGGGTCTCTTCTACATGGAGACAAATGAAGGTTCCAAACACAAGAAAATGTCCTGGGGGCTGCCCTTTTGGTTTAAAGAAATCCAATCAGAATAGAAAAATACCTAAAATCAAGATGATATAAAAGTTAAACGATGCATTTGGTTTAAAGTAATAATGAGTAGACGTTGAAACTGGAGTGGGATTTGCTGGAAGAAGGGCCTACTGAAAAATTTCTGACACAATAACTATTTCTTTTCTATGATTCTGTCCTAATTTTCTCTCTGACTTCGAATTCACTCTCTGAGCAAGGAGGAGGCTGGCAGCAGAAGGCAATCATCAACACAGCAAATTCTCAATCCTCAAAGCAAGTCTGTGCCTTTTCTTGCAAAATAGGTATGGGGAGTATTTTTGGTTGTGATATGCAGTCTTTGGGGAATGAGGCCCTTGGTGGCACATGTATGTGTGTATTTGTGTGTATTTGTGTGTGTGTGTGTGTGTGTGTGTACATGCACAGGACATCTTGGTTAATTCTTGGAGCCATGGTGTCTTCCTCTCTCACCAGTGAAGGCCTAGTTCAGGGCAAGAGGCTGCTGGAAGCACCTTGGAGAATTTTTTTGCTCAAGCCACACTCTAGGAAGGGCACCATGGAAGGAGGGACAGCACCACAAACCATTAGAGGGCAAAGGGCTCTACTTCTGAGTCTACTGTCCTGTGGGGCAGTTCCATCATTACCTGCACTGCCTAGTGCTCGCATTTGGCCTGTGCCACTTAGGAGCGCACTGATTTCAGCATGCACCGTCTTTACGGTGAGATGGAGTTGGGGCTGGGATGGGGCCTAGGGAACTTTTTAATTGGGAGAATGTGGGGGCTCTCAAGCTAACCAGTTCTCTTCAACTGCTGCCTTAATGATGCTCTGGTTTGAATTTTCCTCTTAAATTTGATTGAATCCAATTCTAATTGGATTGAACTTACTGCTTCTTGGGCTTCCTGCCAACCAGCGGGTACCTTCATTTCCTTCCCAGGGAGTTTTATGCTAGGGAAAAGCAGACAGATTGACAGCTCACAACGGAGAGGGAAGCTTTGCTCTTTCCCTGTTGGGGATGATCATAGAGAGATGCCATCCCCTCTCCTCCTAACCTTTCATCCCCTGTACCTAGTTAAGCCTCCGGGGCCTTAGTCTTGCTCCTGGAGACAGTAACCTCATCTAGCACTTTTCTCCCTATGCAAATCAACTCCAAAAACTGTGTTTCAAGGCCTCCTCTCTTGACTGTCTTTCTGTCTACCTCCATTTGCACCCCTCTGGGGTGGGTTTGGAGTTGCAAGGGGCTGAACTTCGCAGTCCCTTGTAAGGGCTCACTTCAGCTCTTTTGAGTGACTTTGCAGAGGGTTCAAGTTCTGGTTACAAAACACCTACCCATCCTTCTTTTGGAGTTGGGAGAAGAGGACTGGGACTCAACTGGAGCAGGGACAATTGGCCCAATCCTGTTTTACAGCATCAGCCTTATGGAATGAAGCTCACCATCTATACCCCAAGGCCTTTGGGAATCTAAAATAAACATCCAGGGGGAGAAATAGAACAGGAGGTATGCTGCTGATTCTGCCTGGCTTGAAGATAATTTTCCTCATAGAGGAAGGATGTGTTTTGGGAGCGTGAGAGGGATGGAGAAGGGCTTTAGTCAGATCTGGAGCATGGCTGCATCCCATGGAGTGTGAGGCACAGCCAGGCTTGAGGCTGGATGGAAGGTGAGCCAAGGTTTCCCTCAGCAGTCCCCACACAGTAAAGGATCTGCTGGTGGCAGTGCCTGGCTCTCTTTATCTCCTTACCTGGATGCCAGCCATGTTCCTGCTCTGGGGACTGAGCTAATGAAGACATGGAGCTCCAGCCTGACAGGCTGCAACAGGCCCAAGGACTACAGCCGACAAGACAATCAGTCACTGCTGTGGGATTTGTCATGAGACAGGACTGCATCTCTCGCCAGCAATGGCCAACATGAAAAACGAGGGGTGGTGTGGAGAGCCGGGGGCCAGGGCTCAGCGGTGTAAAGCATGCACAGGGCGGTGTGTGCGGAATCCAACCAACAGCCCGAGGCGTGCTAGGCCCTTCCATCGTCGATACCGCCCAGGCTCCTTATTTGTGGATCCCACATCTACAAATGTGCCTACTCACTAAAATGTGTTTGTGACTCGTGGTACTTTTAGTCACCTGTGGACATGTACAGATGACAAAAACTCTACGTGTTCCCGCTGAGGCCAAACAAGGGGGCACGTAGAGTTCTGCCTTCCCAATTCAGCCCTCATACTATGAGGTGTCCTTTTCACTGTCCACTTAGTGCCACGTTGTCTCATTTTTGTGCTTTTTGTTGGTGATTTTGCTATTTAAAATGGCCCCAAGCATAATGCTGAAGTGCCGTCCAGTGTCACTATGCACAGGAGGGCTATGACGTGCTGCACAGAGAAAACACGTGCATTAAGTAAGCTTCACGCAGGCACGAGTTACACTGCTGGTGGCCACGTGTTTAATGTTAATGAATCAATCGTATATATTAAATAAAGTGTCTTTAAATAGAAACACACTTAAAACAAGTTTACGTATTGATTGGTTGATAAAATGTGAGCAGAGGCTCACAGGAAATAACTCTGTGGTTCCCCAGAACTAACGTCTCAGTGTTCACTACTTCATGTTTGTGGTGACTTCATGGAACGTAACCACCATGAATAAGGGGCACTGACTGTGTACGTTGGGCCATCTCTTCTGCTCCCACCCACAAGGCCCGTATGTCCCGACGTTTCATTGCTTTCTTCTGCTCCCAGATACTGTGTCTTAACTGTGGGGCCATGGTCCAGTGGTACTTCCTGGCTGTAAAATGCCTACCTCCAGGGGTTCTCTGCTTTTTGGGGACAAGACACGCCCAACTCCCAGTGGGAAAAGGGATGGGATGACTACCTATGTAAGAAATCGTGGGCCTCTTGCCAACTGGAGGCGCACTTCCCAAGCCCTCTGTTTGCAATCGCTTAAAAACAAGAAGTAACCGGAGTCCAGAGTCCAGAGGCTTCCACCTCATTACAGCTTCAAGGGCAATTTCAAGAATCTCATCATCACTGTTGTAGACTTTACTCTAGTCAGCTGGAGATTGAGCTGAGGGGAAGTAATCATAATCCGATTATTATCTATACAAGCACCAGCCCTATGTCTTGCATAGGGTTAATGTGAGGACCATCAGATAATGAAGTATTTAGAAAAAATCCTTTAATTATTCTATTCTTTATATTGACTCTATCTGGCCTCATCAGAAATAGGTGTTCTGGATGTGTGTGCATGCTCCAGATAGAAGAGGTCTAACCCTCTCAGGGCCAAAGTCTGAATTTCCATTAAAACATTTTTTTCTTTTTTACTTTTAGAGACAGGGTCTCGCTCTGTCACCCAGGCTGGAGTGCAGTGGCACGACTATGGCTCACGGCAGCCTCCAACTCCTGGACTCAAGTGATCCTCCCGCCTCGGCCTCCTGAATACCTGGGACTATAGGTGCTGCCACCACGCCCAGCTAATTAAAAAAATTTTTTTGTTTAGAGAGAAGGGGTCTCACTATGTTGCCCAAGATGATCTCAAACTCCTAGCTTCACATGATTCTCTTGCCTCAGCCTCCCAACGCTGGGATTATAGACATGAGCCGCCATGCACAGCCCTCAATTTCCACACTTTAAATGGAAGCTTTATGGAGTCATCTTCTCTACCTTCATGAGCAGAACACACCAAGCACCATTCAATCTTTCGTTAGTGACTGAAGGACATGATTTATGAGGATGAGTTACTGTGCTGGGCTATAAAATTCTATTATCCTTAATTGTTGGAATGTAGGGTTTCACACTCCTCCCAGTCCCAGAAGGCTCCAAGACTGCAGTGCTATTCAGTTAGTGGCTTCGCTCTCTTTCAAGGGCCATGAAGATCTGCAGGGCTGCCTGCCCCTCTGCTAAACAGCCCTGCCTTGCTGCAGGCCTCTGGGTGGTTGCCTTTGCAGCTTCCTGCTGGGATTCTGTGTGCCTGCTGGCTGTTTCCCGCAGCCTGTGCTGATTGCTTCTGTGCCTGCCGGCTCGCTCCTCTCACCCTTCCTACTGCAGCTTCTGCTCTTCCCCTCTCCACTTCTCACCTGCCATTTAAAAGCATGGGATGGACCCGTCCCATGGATCTGGGGAGAGTACACCACAGAGGTCAGGAATAGAGGCCATGGATTCACATTGCTTGGGCTCCGCTCTGCATCCTATATTTTTCACTTGCTGGAACTGAGGTCGTTTTGGCTGCTAAGCCTCACTTTCCTTCTCTGTAGAATGGACACAGGAATAACCCCAGCTCACTGAGTTGCCATGGGCATTAACTGAGTGAAGCTAGCAAAAGCTCTGAGCACAGAGCCTGACACAGAGAATGCTAGGGACTGTTAATGCTGTCACTGTGACAGTCAACTTCATGGAGCTGTGAGACCTTTTTGAATGCTTCTGGAAGTGTAGCTTAATCAGAAGTCTGATGAATAAGTGGGCGTTTGACTGCATGGTCGACTACATCTGCACCCAGTAAGTGGGTGGCTATTCTACGGTCCTGGTTAATCAAGACTGACTGGAAACCGTTGCTTCTGAGTGGTCAGCCAACAGAAGCCTGATTCCAACTTTGGCACTGCATGGGGCGGGGGGGAACCAATTCAGAATGGCCAGCCCTTGACACATAAGGAAAGGCCTCCTTAAACCAGAAAGGGGAGGTGCTCACCCATACACACCTCTTTGCTCTTCAGAGCAGACCCTTGGCCAAGGAAGCCTTGGCAGATGTTCTATCAGTGATTCGGGAGCTGCAAGGAGCAGATGGCAGCTCTCAAAACGGGTCAGGAAAGAAAGGTTGGGGAAGGTCTCCAGGAAAGACCAGCGTATAGACTCAAAGACTCCTAAGTTCAGAGGTCAAATAGCCTTAATGTTCTTGTTCTGAGTCAAGCAACATTTCTGAGTATTACTAAGCTTCAGGTTTGGGGTGAGGTGTCTAAACACACTCTAGCACGTTTAGGCTGAGTCAGCCAAGATATGGTCTTCAAAGTGGCTTTTTCTCCAACATCAGCAGCTTCTGTCACTTGACTTCACTGCTTTGATTCCACCAGGAAGATTACTCCTCTGGGGGGCCAAGAGTGACTGTGGACAGATGCTCTGCTCAGGGAGGACCCTCAGGGTCCAGCCCTCATTCTCCACTTCAGGTTCTTGGAGGGGGGTTACTTGCTCAGATTTGGTTCCCAATCTCCAGGGGAAGAAAGTGGAGTTACATTCATTTAAAAGTCTTGAGCTGTGGCTTGTGTTGCAGTTCAAGCTCATTCATCGTAGATCACATGGGAGGCGGTGCCTGAGTGCTGGCTCTGGTTCTGCTGCTTACCAGGGAAGTGACGTTGTACAAGTCGCTTAACATCTCTGGGCTCATGTTCCTCATCTTTACGAGGAAAAGCATTTCTAACATTTGATGATTCTGTAATTCCAGTTATAACAGGCACCAAGTAAATAATAATCATTGTAATGATAGCACCATTATTGGGCCCTTACTATATACCACTGTTAAGTATCCTGAAAATGATCTTATCCTATCATCACAGCCACCTATGCACCGGAATTATCATCTTCCCTTTTTCAGATGGGGAATCTAAGATTTAAAAAGGTGAAACCACCCAACATTATGCACCCAGCCAGGGCAGAGCTGGGATGCCTCAATTTCTGCTTTGATTCCGGGTGATGAGGTTGATTTTTTCAATCCTTTCCTTGGAGATTCACAAATAAACACGGGGCATTTTCTTGTGTTTGAACATGAAACTGAAAACCTCTCTACCTTCCAGGCAATGAATCCGAGACTTACATTATTCTGCTCATCATTGATATCTCTGATGGAAGGCACTAGTCTCCTGTGTGGTCTCACCTTGGAAAAAGGCATTTTGTCATCAAGGTCTCTATCGGGCCATTGTCCATGGGAGGCGGAAGGGCTGGGAGGAGACTGTTTCCTCTACGCAGCTCTGAAGGCCAAGCCCACTGCTTCGCACTGCATTAGGGCAGCTGTAGGAGCTGGGAGTAGCTGTTCCTAGCTTATGTACTGGGGAAAAGTGGGAAGCAATCTTTCTCTTTATACCTAAATTTCTCCCAGCATTAACCTCTCTAGATAGTTAGGAAAGACTGCAAAGCAGCTGACCAGTCTCAAGCAGAGTAGAAGTAGATTAACCCCCTCCCCCAAGTGGCAAAGGCAGCAGAGTGGTCACCCATGAGCCGGTCACCAGGAGCATTTAGGTGTTAGGCCTTGGCATGGCTGGTGTGGACTTCTGAAGAAGAAAGTGGGGTGAGGAAATATCTCATGCGTTTCCATGATGAAAAGCTCCTTGACCTTCCAACCACATGCTACTTCTACCATGGACTCTTGCTATGTTGCCCAGGCTGCAGTGCAGTGGCATGATCATAGCTCACCGCAGCCTTGAACTCCTGGGCTCCAGTGATCCCCCCGCCTCAGCCGTCTGAGTAGCTGGGACTACAGGTGTGCACCACCATGCCCAGCTACTTCTACCACTTCTAATATCATGTGAGCAAGGGCTGAAATTAGGTAGATGTGATACTTGCAGCCGACTAGATAAAGTTAGAGGAAAGTGTATCCTATCTCTTCTATTCTTAAATAATCTATGGCTTCAAACAGTTAAGGTTCCTTTCCGTTCAGAAAAGGAAATTCAGAGATAGACTACTCAGTCTATGAATTAAAACGGAAGAGAATTAGATGTTGAGTCTGTCTTTGTTTATGTTCTAAACCAGTCTCTTCTTACCCAGGCCTGTTCACCAGAGGCCATGAAGGCACAAGGAGAAGGGCCCTGCCTGCCTGGACAGCTACCTGAGGCTGGGAGGGGCTGGCTGGACCCAGTTTTTGTGGTGAAGCTAGCTCTCCTCCACTGTCCACCACCGAGACCAGTGGCACATCTGACCCTTTACCCAGCCAGGACAAGGACATCCACTTCAAGGCTCCTGTGGTGACCCCTTATCCCAGGTTCATCAGAGCCAGAAGAAGAACACAGCCAGGAATAGCAGAAAGAATAAATAAAAATAAATGGAAAAATCAAGACCTTTTTCCTTGGTCCTGCTTACCCGCTAAGCACACCGAGAACCAAGTTAAGTACAAAAAATGACCCTATGATGATTAGTGTAACAAAATAGATCCAGGGCCAGTCCCTTCCTACGGCATCATTGACCTGGAAGAACGGAATGATAGTTAGTGAGGCACACTCAGCAACCGAGCACGGCCAGTGCCGGTCCCCGGCTCCCGGGACACTGACCCATGCAGCGCCGGGACCCGGGGACCCTCTAGGTGCAAATCAGAGGCCAAACAGCCTTGCCCGGCCAATGGGTCAGAATCTGTGGTTGAACGGAGACTTTGTGGTGGTTTTCCTGGGCCTGTCAGGGTCCCGTCCCTGAGGACCCCGGGCATGTATGGAGTGGAACCTGAGACCTTGCTCGGCTGCGTTGTGGAGAGGACGTAGAAACGGTCAGCTTACCCGCTCAACACACCGAGAACCAGATTTAGAACGAAAAAGGATCCAAAGATGACCAGACTGACAAAATACACCCAGGGTAACTCATAACCCATAGCGTCCTGCATCTGCAAAGACGAAGGAAAGTTAGGAAGGAAGCAGCAGAATTGGGTTACAGCAAAGAGGCAGGCAGCAGGTGTGAGCAGATCGGGAGGAGACAGACGGGGCCGAACGCGGGCTTTGTTCATGTGCCCCAGGATACCCGTGTTCCCCGGGCATCACCCATGTTCAAAGGACCTCCTGTGACCGAAGGGGACCTCGGCCGGCTCTGCCTCAAGAGGAATCACTCTCTCTCTGTGGTTTTATTTTCTGAAAAAGAAACATTTCTCCAATGTTTTCCATTCACTTGTCTGGGAAAATGGGTCATCGCAAAAATTAACTTCTTCAGCTGGTTTTAGCTCACTTGGGTTTGGGTGGACATTAAGCCTTTCGTTGCCCCTGGAGGCCCCTGACCTTGGTGTATGAAGTGTGTCAGCTCCTCAACTGACAGGCCTGGAGAACTGAAACCTCAGAGGAGGTGTGAGGAAAGATAACCTTCCTCAAAGGCTTGCCACCTGGACCATGGGCCAAGCCCAGAAGTTAGAGGCTAAACCCCAGTGCTTCACACATACTGTGGGCCACCGGCTGGGAGAGGCAATCATTTTGGTTTATGTATTCAGAGGAAGGTCCTGTGACTGCAACCACAGCTTAGATGGATATGGTCCTTAATGTGGGAACTGACTGTAACTAACACCCTGAAAGGTCACAAACCCTTACAGCAGCCGGAGGCAGTGGTGTGCTGGAGCTGGCTCCTGGAGGCTGTGGGGAGCTCACTGTGCACATCTCTTTCCAGCTGCGTGTACAGCGACCACACTAGTGGCTTGAAACTGACCATGGTGGGAGTATTTACACTACAGAGATAGGCAAGCAAATAAATCAGCCCTCTGTACCCGGTGTCTCTAAGAAGAGATGCTTAAACATTTATTAGCTCACCACTGGCTGGAGGGGGGACGTGCAGATACATTGCAGAGCTATGCTTCCATCAGAGGAAATTTATTCTGATTTAGTTTCCCAAATCTCTCTCTCCTAATGCTTTCTGACTACACAGGGTTAAGTTTTGGCTTCCTAAAAATGAACCCCACTTTGTACTTGTGATTAGCTCATAGAAACCCAAACTTCCAAGGCACACAGGCATCCTGAATGATTCACATCAATGGATCTCAAAGTGTGGCCCACGGACGAACAGCCTCAGCGTCATCCGGGAACCTGTTCAGAAATGCATATACCTAGACCTCACCCTGACACTGTGGGGGAGGCCCAGCAACCCGCGTTTTGACAGGCCCTGCAGGTGATTCTGATGCACGCTTAAGCACCACTGACCATACTGTTCTCTCTATAGCTCCAAACTTCAAATGCAACAACACAAGTGTTGTGGCTCATCATGTACCTCCACAAGGTTGCACAGCAGTGTTCCTCAAAGTGTGGTCCGAGGACCACCAGCATTAGAAACATCTGGGAGAGTTATTAACAAAGCAGATTCCTGCCCCACGGCCCCAAGGTCTCAGAGTGGCCCACAGTCTGCATATTAACCTCCCCAGGCGATTCTAGGGTGTACTCAAGTTAGATAACCACCCCACGATTTCCACCCAGGGGCCTCAAAGGAGTTCAGGCAGGTGGGATATTAATGCCCTCAGCCCTTGGGCTTCGCAGCTTCAGCAGATGCTTGCAGCTGCCTAAGTACGCTGGGTAAACATGTTCTCTGCATGCAGGGAATAGAAGACTGAGAAGTACCGAGACACCCAGCTAGTCTGACTGGTATGAAGTGTGACATCCCAGTACGTTCTTTACGGATCCGTTCATATGTATCTGATATTACTAAATTTTGGTTAGGAAAATTCACCCAACGTAATCATTGTGCATAGTGCAAACATCGCGTCTGGGGGTCTCTGTCTGAGGGACCCCCGTGTTCATGGGGAAAGAAGATGCCCAGCATGTGCCCACTTGGCCGTGCTGTTGCGAAATTCAATCGAACGTGGGTTTACTGAACATGCTCATGTTCCCGCGTCTGGTCTGCTTTCCCAGAGCGCTTCCCACTTGGTATCATTACCTATTTATTACGTTTAATTATTTGCTGCTTGTCTTCCATGCTAGAATGTGAGCTCCCCAAGGACAGGTGGTTTTGGCCTGCTTTGTTCACGGGTCTACCCCAGGTGCCTACAAGCGTGCCTTGCACATGGTAGGTCCTCAGCTAATGCTCTTTGAGTGAATGAGTGAACTTGAAATGTGCTAGGCACTGTGCTGGAAACACAAAATCCTTGCTAGAGGGGAGACAGGAAATGACCAGGCAGCTACAGTGCAGGCTGGCAGCTGCTACTGCAGGAGGAAGCATGCAGGGTCCCAGAAGGCTTCCACCAGTGGAAGAGCGGCTGCGTGAGGCTGAGCGAGGCAAGGGCCAGGCTCAGCAGGCCTGTGTCAACCTTGCACTGCACAACCACTGGAGGCAATGGAGACAAAGGGCAGGAAGGAAGCCCCAGAGTCCATGTGGTCCTATGATAGCAACGGAGGTTTGCAGAAGTTGGCAATTGTTAAAAACAGAGCCTACGGCTGTAAAGCCATCCCAGCTGCAGGATGGAAGATTCTCCCAGTGGCTGAACTCCTAAAACATCCAGCAAAACAGCAGCTGTTAGGAGAGGCAGGGTGAAAGGTCCTTGTGTCTCAGGCCCTGTCCCCATCCCAGGGAGCCTGGGAGCTTTCCTTTAGCCAGAAGGTAACTGTCTGAACCAAGAGTGCAAAGGAAACCACGCCAGACTTCATCACCAGGAGAAGAAAAACAAACCCCAGCCAATAGAGGATGGGGTGGGACTGGTGACACAAGATTAGGGAGAGAAAGGCAGGAGAGCCCCAAGAGCTGCCTGACCACAGACCACACTGACAGCCTTGCTGGCCATGAGGGGCTGTGGGCTGCAGGTCCCATTTGACCATGGGAACTATGAGGTCATTCTTTGATTATTCTTAGCAGCGGTCAGATCAGAGTCCACATTTGTTCAACAAGTATTTACTGAATGCCTCCCTGTGTAAGGGTTTCTGTTGTGTATTGGACTCTCTGCTACAGCGAGAGCAATGGGGTTGAGACAGCCCTGGAATGGGAGTCCCACGCACCTGCCAAGGAAGAGGGAAACCTGGATCCAAGGTCATGGGGAGCCTGTGGGTGTCCTTGTAGCTTTTTCTCTCAGAGTAAATCCTGCTAAGGAGAGTCAGAAGCAATCCCATTCTTTTCCTCTAAATGACTACTGCTTTACTTTTTTGGAAAGGGTGGGGTGGTCAGGAAAAGCTTTTAAGAACTATGGACTCCCACCAGAAGTAATGCACACTGCACACACACAGCATCCTGCAGACGGCCTCGAGGGCACACCGGCACCCCGAAGCCCGTGCAGGACCCTGTGGTATGGACCCACTCCAAACGACTGGCCTGTTCTGTTCGACCCCAGAGGAGCTTTCCCCAAGTGTGCTTCAGGGGATGGGGAGTGGCAGAGGAGGTCTGTTCTTGGCAAGCTCGCCTTGCTCCTCTCTGGATAATAGACCCCACCTTCTTCAGGACACGTGGGAGCAGCCAGTTCCAGGAGGCCACAGCGTGCTCACCACGGTTCCCCTCCCAAAGCTGCCTCTGGAGCCTGGGCAGATGGCAAGTGGGAGTTGGGCTTGATGGCGCCCAGGCAACTTCCTCAAAATGAAATCTTTCCTCACTGGTTCCTCACACTCCTTACATTTTGTGAACATTTAACCTCATGAAAATGCAGCCTTGGAGGCCACACAAACCCACGAGCCTTGGAGATTTCCTAGGGCCCGAGCTTAGTCTGGAAATCCTTTCCTCTGTGCCACACACAAGGTGAGAGGCTTCCAGCATATGAAGGACTTCAAAGAGGGGGCTACAGACCTCAAGGTCATGGCCCCACAGACAGCCAGGGCCATAAGAGGAAACCCATATGTCCCCCTTGCCATCCCACACTTCTGCTTTGGTCCTTCCTGGGCTGTGGGCTGGTTTTTTAGAGCTTTGAGATGGGGAACAGCAGGCGAAGGCAGGAGGCAGGAGGACAGAGGAGACATGGAGATGGATGAGGCCAGTGTGGTCCTCAGAACCCCACCGCCTGGGTGAGCAATGCTCGGCCGCCACAGAAGGTGATTCTCTGAACTGCCTGGCTCTGGTCTGAAAGGAAAGTTCTCCTTTTGTTTCCCTTTTACTTTCTCCTCTTTATTCTGGGCCACCTACTTTGGGGGGCTGGCTGAGTAGAGAGCACACAAAGCTGGGTGGCTCTGAAGTAGGGCGATGCCTGGAGTCATGAGATTGATGTCCTAAAGCAGCTGAAATGGAGCTATTAAGAAGACAAAGAATAAGTCAGATTTACAAAAAAAAAAAAAAAAATGACCCAGATGGCTGACACCCTTATTTAGAGGTGAAATAAAGGATAGGTCTTCTAGAGCCATTAAGCCATGTTCCTCGGGTCTCCTGACTTTCCAAAGAAAAGTCAGTTCATTGTCTATAGCCTTGAGTGCCTCCAGGCCCAAGTACTGGCAGGACGGCCCCTGCCTTGGCCGAAACAGCCTCACTACAAAGGGAGGGGCATTGAATGAAAACTACTACCAAAGAACCTTTGGAAACCAGCATCTAATTCCTTGAAGGGAAC